ACCCAGCCTCCCCCCGCCTGGCTAGGCCGCCATGGCAGGAGTGCCCAGCCTGCCTCCTTGCTTCTTCTCTTGTGGCCCTTTTCCCTTCTCCAGCAGCAGCCAGAGGGCTCCTTTGGAGACCCTCCTCTGCTTGAAATTCTCTAGCAGCTTTTCATCTTCTTGGGTGGTGCAAATGGTTTGTGCTTAACAACTAACCGAAAGGTTAGTGGTTCAAACCCACCAGGTGCTCTGCGGAAGAAAGGCCTGGCAGTCTACTTCTGTGAAGATTACAACCAAAAAAACCCTATGGGGCGGTTCTGCTTTGTAACAGGGTTGCCATGAATCAGAACTGACTCAATACCAATGGATTTAGTTTTATTTTTTTGGGGGGGGTGGGGTGGCGAGGGGAACAAAATCCAGATACGTACCAAGGGCCCCAAGGCACCGTGCAGTCTGGTCTTGCCTCTCTCCAGCCTCAGCTCGCTTCCTGTCCCTCTCACTCTGGCCTCTTTTCAGGACCTCAGGGTACCATGCTGTCCCTCCCTGCCCCCCAGCCTTGCCCACATGCTCCTCTGCAGCTGAGACCTTCCTTCCTTATTGTTAGGTTCACGTCTGCTTATCCCTCCACTTCAGAGCTTCACCTCGTCAGACCTGCTCCTCCTGCCCCCTTGTAGCCACGCTACACTCTAGGCTCATTGATATCTACCTGATTGATGGCTTATCTGCTCATCACGTCTTCTCTGCAGACCATGAGTGCCTCGAAGCCGAGGCCCAGTTACCCCTTGTTCATTGTGGAATTCCCAGGGAGCTGCATGCTCTTGCACACATGTGTGCCAGGAAATGCTGGCTGGCTGGCGGGTGTATCCACTGACCTGCCCTCTGTGCTGGGTGGATAAAACCAACTTGGGAGAGCCAGCTGGGATCGGTTCCTATACGGCCCTTTCGCATCCCCATGGGGAGTGGCATTTCCTACATACACTGTGTGTGGGGAGGTGGGGGTGTTGGGGGGTGGGGCGTCAGCATCAGGTCCACTGTGCTCAGTGCCCACCCTGATTGCCCCCACAGAGGACTGCCCCCCCACTTTGTTTTCACCCGTTTGTGTTTTTTAAAGGGGCTCTTTGGAAGGTTTTTTTTTAACTTCGCCTTGCTCTTGGCAATTCCTTAGAGTACCACGTTGGGGCTATCAGGGCACCCCTGAGTCAGGAAATGGCTCTGGGCTTTCTGATCAGGGTGAGAAGGGGGACCCCTCGGCGTTGCCTGACTTGGACCCCCTGGCCGGGGCAAGAGAGGTTTTGCCTGCGATTCCGTTGTACAGGTAGACCACAGTTTGGGGATCCACCGCCTGTTGTGGACACCTGGGTTGCTTCTGCTGTTTAGACCGTTGTAAAGTCTGTTGGTTCTTCACCTGCGTTTCAGAAGTGGATGCCAGGCCAGCCCCCACCCCTGCCAGGGGTGTCCTCACCCCCAAGTGGAGTCTGCAGTGGCTCTCCTTCTAGGGCAGTTGTTGGGGAGAAATGGCATCACCCTCAGAAAGCACTCAGCCCAGAGCTGGCCACTTTGCACCTGAGCACGTTCTTAGGTTGATTCCAGAGGTTTGTTTAGATGTCTGCTCAGTCTCCTCACTTAGCGGGATTAATTGCCAACTGACTGCGTGTTTCCTGGGCATCTATTGCCTTATTAGTGACCATCCCTCCCCATCCTGGGAGACCCACCGGGCCACTCTGTGTTCGTGCTGAGCCCTGATATCTGGCGCAGTGCCTGGCATGGACCAGGCTCCCTGTGAGATGAATGAATGAATGAGTGAATGAATGAATGCTTTCCCTGGAGGGGACTGACACTGCCTGGATACCTAGGGTGCCACATGGAGCCTTTAATTTGCCTCTGCACTAAATTGGGGTTTCCTCCAGTGCTGCCAACAGGGTGCCTCCTGCACCCCTAGGCCCTGCTCTGGGTTCTGGTGGCCTAGGAAACAGCAGGCTGGGGGCGGGCGGGGGAGGTTTGCAGTCTCTGCTGTCACCAGCTGGGGGGCCCCTGGAACGTCATCTGCAAAAGGCGACTAAGGGGTGCCCCACCCCAGGGGGCTCTTTGGGGGTGGCAGCCTGCTCAGGGCTAGTCCCCAGCGTGGCCCCCCTCGGCCTTGGGAGCATTCGCCCCCCAGGAATTCCCAGGTGCACCTGTAGCCTCCTCCTAGAGGGCTCGTGGGCCAGGCTGTGTGACCCAGCACAGCCCTGTGCCGGCCCTGACCTGGGCTTCCTCTCGTTACTCTCTTGTGGATGGGGCTTTGGCCCATGTGTTTGCCCCACCTTCGTCTTCCGCATCTAGGATTGTGAGAGTTTGCTCATTAGCGCCTCAGAGGACACCATCTTAAGTGGCAGCCCTAGGGGGTGTCACCTCCTGCCTGGCCCCATCAACTCCCTGGAGAGTGGCTGGGGGAAGCCTCGCTGAAAGACACCTGTGCCTCCTGCTTCTCTCCCTCCTGGGGGGTGGGGGGGTGCCCCTAGACCAGGTATGGACAGCAGATGAAGCTCCAAGTGGTCCTGGGGGGAGGGGACCCACTGGCCTCCACATCCCGGAGAGGAGGGGCCACCAGTAGAAACGCTGCCTGCAGCTGCTGGGGAAATTGGGCCCTGCCTCCAAGGGAGGCGCTGGCCCTGAGGGTCTCCTCCCAGCCTGCCGGGGAGGGGGCGGGAGGGGCCTGTGAGAGCTGCGTGTTTCTAGAGTGCGGGTGGCATGGGGTGGGGGTGGCTCATAACCCAGGACCCCCCCCCCAGGCGGCAAGCAGACCGGGCATCTGAGACCCCTCCCCATCACCACCCCCCTTCGCGCTCCCTCTCTGTGACGTCATGCTCCTCGCGCGCAGCATGATGGGAGAATCCTAATGTTTTCTAACAGATGCTCCGGGAACAGCTTTCAGATTAAAGCAATTGCGAGAGCAAAGATTCTTCATTTTTCCTTTTTTTCCGGGGGGGTGGGGGGTGGGGTGGGGGGAGGGAGCACCCCCAGACTTTCCTGGACATCACCCCTTGCCCCCAGCACGCAATACACACTGACCAGAAAAAGTTTTTATTTCCTGGTTCAACTTTTTTTTCTCTGGAATATAGACCGAAGAATGGGAATAAACAGGAATAAATAACAAAGCGAGGCTCGGCGCGCCGGGATGCGCCTGCCTGCCGCCCGCGACGCTATTGTCTCCGGCCCCGAAGCAGCCCCGGAGGCCGCCGCCTGCTCCTTCCCGGGCCTTTTCTATTCGCCTTTTTAACAAGACGCCCCTCCGGCCGCTGCCAGCCCCTCGCCAGTGACCTTGGCCGCCGCCGATGCTCTGACTTCCCCTGGCTCCACCGAGTGGCCCCGCGCGCCGGGCCATGGCCGCGTCCGAGGACGGCAGTGGCTGCCTCGTGTCGCGGGGCCGTTCGCAGAGTGACCCTAGCGTCCTCACCGACTCCTCGGCCACCTCCTCCGGGGACGCCAGCGACAACCCAGGTAACAGGCGAGGGCTGGGGGCGCTGGAGCAGGTCCCGGTCCCTGTCTGCGTCGGGAAGCAGAGGGGCACTGGCACGGGGCCGGGCCGCCCAGGAGTCTTTGTCCGGGAGGAGCAGGGCCCATGGACCGCCTCCCCTGCCCCTCCGAAAGGCGCTGGCAGCAGGGGGAGGGGGAGGCGCTAACCTGTGGCCGCCTCCGCCCAGGGCTCTGCCTGCCCCGTGACTCCAGACCGGGTGGCCCCGGGTGGGCGTCCCCGCCCGGGCAGGGGGCATCCCCGCAGCCGCCAGTGCAGGGGGCTTCCGCGGGTGCCCAGCTCGGCGGGACCTGGCACATCTGGGCCGCTGCCTCGGGACAGGTGCGCTCGGCAGAGCAGCGGGCAGGGAGGTGAGTGAAGGGCAGGTGGGCGGCGGCAGGGTGCAGGCGCTGGTCCGTGGAATTCTGTGGACCCGGTGTGCTCCCCACCCCCAGGGCAGCCTCGGTTGTCGAGGTGATCAATCCGGTCACAAAGGCGTCTATAAGGTTTGATTGATTACTTTCCAGAGGAAGAAAGGCCTAATAAAGCAGAAGGGGGGTGGGCTGTGTGCCTGTCACCATGGAGATGGAGGAAGCAGTGTGATTATTAAAACCTTTCTCCAGCAGAAGGCAATTTTCACTTCACACGGAGAAGTCTGAGCTGGGATGTGGGGTTCAGAAAAAGCAGCAGAGCTGGTGTTGGATGCCAAGCTAGCCGATCTGGTTTTGTATTTTAGAAAAGCACAGATGGTGTTGATAGTAAGTTTCCTTTACCGCCCCCCTGTGAACCCACCCCAAATGAAGACTGGGTCAGTTTGATGAATGTGCCCAAGTCAGGCTGATCCCAGGGGGCCCGGGAGCAGGCTGGCTTTGGAGGAGGGATTCCTTCACTGAAATGTTGGAGCTTGTCTGTCGAAGGCATAGAAAGCCCCATTAAAGACAGCTCTGTAGGCACCAAGGCCCTATGTGAAATTTGAAACAATAAACCCATCCAAGTCTTGTGCGATTTCTTTGTTAGCATGGTTGACTGTGTCATTTGGTGAAACTGTGGTGCCAGCCGGAGGGCATCTCTGACTTGGCTGTATCTGGGAGGGCAAGTTAATTTCCTTGGAGTTTCAAGGAGAAGCTGCCTGGAGCTGGCCTTAAGTCTTTAATTAATCCTTTTATTAGGAATTGGAATTAAGCCTTCAGCGCTTGGAGATGGACTGGCTTTCTCTGGGAGGAAGATGCGAATCCACCCTTGTTCCAATTATGGAAGTTGAATGGCTCCTCACGAGAGCCCCCTTCCCAGCTCCTTTTGTCTCCCTGGCAGTAAAAGGAAGCAAACTTGAAATGGAAATTAGGATTTAGCCTTTTGGCTGTCTGTAGTTTGATGCCTCTGTGGGTGGGAATGGAGAGCAAGGCAGGTGGCTGGTGCTGGTCTATGCGGGAGGCAGCGGGGAGGGCTCAGACGCTGGTGGTAGGAGCTGTGCCACCAGAGGATGTTTATCTGAGATCTCCTCTGGTCCAGGTGGTCAAAATGGGGCTCAGACAGCAGACGGAGGAAGTGAAAAGGCTAAGACACGTATGATTCTGTGAATCGGAGAGCCTTACTCAAAAGCACTGAGCAGTAAAGCATTGCTGGACTGCATTAAGCAGAGGCTTTCTGGAAGGAAGAGAATCAGAGCCTTCAAGTTGGAAGCGTGAAGCCAGAAGGGTGGACAAGGCAAGCATTTTCTACAGTCGCCTTGCCTAATTGGGTTGGCAAATGCTTGGTTCCCTCTGTTGATGGAGGACTCACTTCTTTCTGAGCCAGGGCAAGCTTAGCTTTGGGCAGATGTATTTAAAACTCCCTTTTCAGGTGGTTGGAAAGGGTCTGTTGCCCATCAGCCCAGACAGGATCTTCTCGTGCTGCGTGCTGCTCAGGGCTGTGCGCTGTGTGCAGCTGAGAGTCTGTTTTGTGGCGGTTACTGTACCCGCTAGAGTGGTTTGTTCAGCAGACTGAAAAGTCATGGCATTTCCTCATGCATCTCCTTACCTGCCACTGTCGAGTCGATTCTGACTCATAGCGACCCTATAGGACAGAGTAGAACTGCCCCATAGGGTTTCCAAGGCTGTAACTTTTACAAAAGCAGACTGCTGTGTCTTTCTCATGTGGAGTGACTGGTGAGTTCAAACTGCTGGCCTTTCGGTTAACAGCCGGGCACTTAACCCCTGAGCCACCAGGGCTCCTAACTGAGGCTCCTGAGGGGCCAGCCCAGCATTCCAGCTGTAGACTAGCCTGCTACAAAAGAAAAGAGAAGAGCCGCCCCCTGCCATTGAGAGTCTGTATTTCATAAAACAGCCTATGCTTGCATTTACGTCTTGTCCCCAAATGTATTTAAATTATTTGAATAGACTTTTTTTTAAGAGCAATTTTAGGTTTACAGAAAAACTGTGCAGATGAGGAATATACACCTCAGAACAATCAACTCTAAGAGATCTACAGGAGAGCGTTTGCCCAAAAGCAAAGTTCAGGGCAGGAAGGCTGGTGGAATGGACACGGGGAACCCAGGGAGGAAGCGGGGAGAGCGCTGACACACTCGGGGGTTTGCAGCCAGGGTCATGAAACAAGCTGTGTATCAGTTGTTGAATGGGAAACTAATTTGCTCTGTAAAGTTACATCTAAACAACAATAAAATGTTAAAAACAAAATGAAACCTCCACCACAAAAACGGTGCAGGAGTGCAGAGTTGGCGTGTACCCCTACCCCCTTGCCAGCAGTGTCTCCCATTATTAGCATCTACGTTCCTGTGGTACAGTTGTTACAATGGATGAACCAGCACTGATACGTTATTTTTTTGTTGTTTATTGTTGTAGTTTAAGTGAAGGTTAACATTTCAAGTTAGTCTCTTATATAAAAATTTATACATACATTATTATGTGACCCTAATTGCTCTCCCCATACTGTGGCAGCACACTCCTCCTTTCCACCCCTGATTCCCCATGTCCATTCAACCAGCTCCTACCCTTTCTGCCTTCTCATCTCACCTCTGGATAGAAGCTGCCTGTTTAGTCTCATGTATCTACTTGAGCTAAGAAGCACTCTTCACAAGTATCATTTTATGTCCCACAGTCCAGTCCAATGTTTGTCTGAAGAGTTGGCCTCAGAAATTGTTTTAGTTCTGGGCTGATAGAGAAGCTGGGGCCCATGCTTTCTGGGGTTCCTCCAGTCTCAAACCATTAAGTCTGGTCTTCTTACTAGAATTTGAGTCCTGCACCCCACCTTTCTCCTGCTCCATCAGGGACTCTCTGTTGTGTTCCCTGTCGGGGCGGTTATTGGTGGTAGCCGGGCACCATCTAGTTCTTCTGGTCTCCGGCTGATGAAGTCTCTGGTTTATGTGGCCCTTTCTGTCTCTTGGGCTAATACTTGTGTCTTTGGTGTTTTTCATTCTCATTCACTCCAGGTGGTTGGGAACAATTGATGCATCTTAGGTGGGATACACTGTTATTACAGAATCGTTTTCACTGCCCTGAAAATGCCCTGTATGCCACCTGTTCATCCTTCCATTTCTTTCTCCCCCCTGCCCCCCACGGATCTTTTTCACTGTGTGGTTTTGCCTTCTCCAGAGTGTCAGAGTTGGAATCATACAGTTTTATACCCTTTTCAGACTGGCTTCTTTCCCTTAGCAAGACGCACTTCGGTTTTCTGTCTTTTTATAGCTCGATAGCTCCTTTCATTTTATCACTGAATAACACCGCGTTGTATGGATGCACCACAGTTTGTTTATCCCTTCATCTGTTGGAGGTATCTTGTTGGCTTCCAATTTTAGGCAATCATGAGGAAAACCCAAATGCATTTTAATGCATCGGTGTTCTCTGAGTAAGAACTCAAAACATGACTGGATAGATCCTTTGATACCCCTTTCTCCCATTCTCCAGATTTTATGTGTTCTGAGCTTAGTGGGGATCATCTGAACCTTTCCCTGCATGCTTACATATTTATGTCCTTGGAAAATGGTGTATAAGAAGACACAAGTAGTAATACACCACATGTAATGTTCTTCGACCCATGTTTTTGCTTAGTACTGGGTCTTGAAGATCTAACCACCTTGGCATATCTCCATCTCCCTCTTTTAATTCCCCAAATCCAGTTGCTGTCGAGTCCATGTGTGATGGAGTAGAACTGTGCTCTGTAGGGTTTTTAGTGACTGATTTTTTAGAAGTAGATCACCAGACCTTTCTTCCAAGGTGCCTCTAGGTAGACTTGAACCTCCAACCTTTCGGTTAGTAGCCCAGAGTGTTAACCATTTGTACCATCCAGGGACTCAAAGGGTAGCCAATGGATATTCTGTAGTTTCCAGTTTTCACCATTTATAAGGGACACTTCAGTGATTTCTGGGAACAAGCCCCTTCATGGTTACTCATGTATGTTCCTCCAGGACAGAGTGCAGCTAGTGGATGTCGGGGTCACAGGGACCCACCTTTTTTATTGTACTAGCTATCACCAACTTGTGCCCTCCTGGAAATGTGCTAGTTGACACTCCTTCCAGAATATTTTCTAATGTCCTTTCCCCAAACCCTTACTCACACCTGAAATCCTCATTAGTCTGTGACTAATGGTGTCTCGTTGGGCTCATTTGTGGTTCCTTGACTGCTAGTGAGCGCGAGCGTCTTCTTGTTCTGTTCCCCTTGCCGTCGAGTTGATTTTGACTCATAGTGACCCAGTAGGACAGAATAGATCTGCCCCATAGGCTTTCCAAGGCTGTGAATATCTATGGAAGCAGTCTGCTGCATCTTTCTCCCACGGAGCAGCTGGTGGGTTCCAACCACCAACCTTTCAGTTAGCAGCCGAGTTCTTAACCACTGCACCACCAGGGCTCCTTCCATAAAGATTAAAGCCTAGGAAACCCTATGGGGCAGTCCTACTGTGTCACATGGGGTCGCTATGAATCAGAATTGGCTTGATGGCACCCAATAACAGCGCTTTGGATCAAATGCAAACTTAACGTGGTTTTGAGATCTGGACA